TACATCCAAAAATTCGCTGAATTTTGAAAAATGAATTATGAATTTAATTTCGAAAAATCTGGATTTTGGTTGACTGATAAAACTTTGTCGGCATTTGATTTTAACAAAAATGTGTATTCAGATGGGTGATACGTATTGTATTATCTTTTAATAGCTCTTCTGGTGTGGCTCCCCATTTGATTATATCCTTCTCTGTTAATTTTGTATTTGGCCACGGTTGGCGACAAATACATTGTAGTTTGAAGATTCACCTTGTGAAACCATAGTATAGACAAATATTTGTAACCAAAATGTTGTTGTTATTTCTGCTGAATTTTGAAAATAATTCTAATTTGAATTTTAAAGGTGCGAGATTTGGAACACAGCAGCCTTACTTGAATTTTACCATCAATCTCGGAGCGAACGTAAACACATGCTCCATAAGCAGCCAAGCTTGCGTCACAAAATCCATGTATTTGTACGTCCGCATTTGGAATGGAAACATAGCGTGGAAATTCGAAATTGCATATATTAGAAAACGTGGAAACATATTCAAGCCACGATGTATGTAAGGCTTGAGGCAGACTCTCGTCCCAATCTAATTTTAGTTTCCACAAATTTTGCATAAATATTTTGGCTTTGGTGATGACGGGTCCAATTAATCCGAGGGGATCATAAAATCGGGCTATAGAAGATAAAATAATTCTTTTCGTAGTATTGAGGTTTTCATCAAAATGAGAAAAAGAAAATATAAATTTATCTAGTTTTGGATCCCAAATTAGTCCCAGAGTTTTGACTATATCTGTTCCGTCATGAAATTGTAAAAACGTTTCACGATCACTAGATGATACGCCATACAAAGATAATTTTTCATTAGAGCACCATTTACGAATTTGAAAGTTACCACGTTTTAACAAAGCTGTAACTTGCTCTCTAATAGTTACGACTTCTTCAATAGAATTTGCGCCTGAGATCAAGTCGTCCACATAAAAATCTCTTCTAATAACTTGAGCACCGATAGGAAAGCTGGTTTCTGTATCAATTGAAAGTTGTTGCATTGTCCTTATAGCAAGGAAAGCCGCTGGTTTGGTTCCATATGTAACAGTATCAAGTTTATAAACTTGTATATCTTCTTCTGTATTATTTCTCCACAGGATACATTGAAGATAGTCATCGGGTGGATTCACTCGAACACAACGATACATTTTGGATATATCTCCACTCAAAGCCACTCTAAAAAGTCGAAAACGTAGTAATGTATTGAACAATTTTGGTTGTATAGTAGGTCCCGCATATAATATATCGTTCAAGGAAATGCCTGAAGTTGATTTTGCAGAACCATCAAACACAACTCTTAGTTTTGTTGTTGTGCTATCCTCCTTTTGAACACAGTGATGGGGAAGAAAGAATGCTCGTGTATCTTGCGGAATATTTTTAACTAACGACATATGCTGAAGATCTAAGTATTCCTTCATAAAATCAACATATTTTTTCTTTGTATCTGGCATCTTACTCAACTTTTTCTCGAGGTTCTTAAACCGGTGAAGTGCCCGATCATATGAATCACCCAGCATATGTGTATCCAATTTCTTTGGTAGGGAGACTGAGTACTCACCTGAAGGTAGCTGAATAGTATTTTGAGCAAAGTGCTCCTCACAGAATTTATGTTCAGGGAGAGAAATTTCAGAATTAGCGAAGTTGTTTTCAATTTCCCAAAAACTCTTTAAAATGTCAATTAAAGATGAATCGCTATCAGTATCAGGCTTAACCATACACGTAGCTGCCAATGAATGCGCCTTGGAATGAAGTACACCACCACCAGACACAATCCAACCAAGGTGAGTTTTTTGCAAAATCGTGGAAATGTTTCCACAACGAATTTGGCCAACGCTCATAAGCTCAAAGAATAGACCTGCGCCAATCAATAGATCAATACGGCTTCTTTTGTAAAATCCTTCATCAGCTAACTTGATGTTCTCCGGGATTTTAAACTTACTAACATCATTATCTATGTTTGGTTGATAGTCAGTTATAGCTGGTATGACGACCGCAGAAAACGAAACAGAATAACTGCTACTATGGGACTTAATTTCGACATCTGCTATTTTATCTGCGTTAATGCTTCCTTCACCAATTCCGGAGATATATACGTTAGAATGTTTTACCTTTAGCTGGGCCAGATTTGCGAAACGCGATGTTATAAAGTTTAACTGAGATGCCGAGTCCAATATTGCACGACAGGGCACGTACACACCAAATTTATTTTTTACTAAGACAATTGCAGTTGCTAATAGAACTCTGGAACCAATGACAGAATGTGAAATGTTTTGATTAGAGCTGGATGATACAAGAGTAGACTGTTTCTTTGGTTCGATATTATTAACCACTTCATGAGCTACTGACACTTTATCTTGAGGATTAGTTAAGTTAATTTCCAAATCATTATTTCCAATGTGCAACAATGTATGATGTTTTAAATGGCAAAATCGGCAAGTTCCTGATTTACACTTCCAAAGTCTGTGACCTTTCCTCAAACAATTTAGACATAAGTTTAATCTCTTCGATTCTTTGAATCGAAGTGTTGGAGATAATTTTTCAAAACTTTGGCAGGTTGTTATGTAATGATCTTTCGCTTCACAAAATGTACACATCTGTGTGGCTCCTGAAGCTATTAGCACATTTCGTCCATGAAAATTAGTTTTCTTGTTTACCTGATGATTGGGTGATTTCGGTTTAATGGAACTTTCAAGATTTTCAAGCATACGGCATCTTCTATCCAAAAATGACGACAACGAATCCCACGAGGGCAATTTATCGTTATGTAAATGCTCCTCCCATTTTGCTAGGCTTTGTAAATCTAGCTTTGACGTAATTAAATAAATTAATAATCCATCTGCCATTTGCTCCTTGGAACATATTGTATCCAAAGCTCTTACGTGTGCGTTAAGCTTATCACTAAGCTGCCGAAGACTCAAAGCCGAATTTTTATCCACACTATGCAAGCCAAATATTTCCTTAATATGGGTTTGAAAAAGAAGTAATTTATTATCAAAACGATTCTTAAGTAAATCGATAGCCTTTTCATAATTAGAATCGGTAGGCTCTAAAGACGAGATGGTGTCCAGCGCTGCACCAGTCAAACTAGTCTTCAAATGTTGAAACTTTTCTAGGTTAGATAAATCCATATCACTTGCTATTGCAGTAGAAAACATTGCAAAGAATGCAGGCCACTCTGTGTATGAACCGCTGAACTGGGGAATTCGAAGTTCCGGTAACCTTGTTTTACGAACAGTAACTGGTTCATCCACAGAAAACTGGCGAAGAGTTGATGATCGGAAAGCTGCACGTTGATTGGTGTTGGCACCTAACTTGCGCTTAAGCTTGGCAGTAACCTCAAAATATGATGTCATAAAATTTGATCGAATCGTATCATCCATATCAACATCACTAGTTTCTTCCAAAAATGATACAGACTGTTCAAAATTTTGATTTAATTTTTCAACATATTCAAGACGCACAGAAAGATCAGCCTCGTCCAAATTATTTATTTCATCTGCGGTAAGAAAGACAAAATGCATTTACATTGCAAAGCTACAAAAATTACATATTTACATTTTACGATATTGTACTTTAAAATATTTACAATATGTACATACAACCATATTTATATATATATATCTATTAGCAGCCATACACACATCGCCTTACATACATGCTGTAACTGGTCAGCATTACAACGCATGTAAATCATACACACACGGCATTACATTTTGATGCGTTTGAAAACAATTGGTGTTAGATTTTCGATTCTCCTATGTGCGGTGTTTCTGATCTTATAGCTGCTGCTTGCACAGTGGTTTAGCAAGACAGACTTATTCATTTTATTGTTGTCTTGTATCGTCTTTTATTATTATCATTAAATACCTTCATTGTTAAATTAATATTCAATTATTTACATGTTCAATTTTTTGCGGTAGATTTTGTGTTGTCGAAAATAACAACAACCGAATTTCCGATGTGGTTAAACCAACAACAACATTATCCGATATATTCTAATGACATGACAAATTGCGGCGATGTACTAAGTGGGTAGCTGTCAAATTGATTTTTCAAAAATAAAATAATTGTGTTGACAGACTATTGATTTAGAAAATTGAATTTGTTTATTCAGCATATCTTTATTATCATTTGAATGTAGTAATGCGACCAGAAAAAAGTAATTTATTTGTCAGCATAAATATACTTCAGTAGTGTTATTATGTAACTGTATGAAGACATAATTAACACTTTCAGTGTTTTTGTCGAATATATTCGACATTTAAAAGTACTCTCTTTCTTTCGATAACAGTAATATTTCATTTGCTTTAATTTCCTTTAAGTAGACGTAAGGCCCTACCGATTGATATGAATAATTTGACATAAATTTTATTTTTTACCTGAGGTATATGTGTTTTAATGTTACCGATATTTGTCGGTAACACAAAAAAAAAAAAACGTGCAGAACTGCACGACAGATTACAGAAATAATTATCCTTGAATCAATGCAGTGTATATTTTTGAAAGAATACTCATGTTTGCAATGATAAACTTAGTTTTAGATGGAAGAGATGGGCTCGGTTTAATTGTATTCTAGAAATTGTGATCTATTTATAAAGAACTTGATGTCGGTCAAGCTTTATGAGATTTGAAGAAGTGATTCTGTTTGTAAACTGAAACTTATGAACTGCAGGCGGAAAGTGTGAATGAAAGGACGTGTGTATAGATAGAGTCGCATTTGTATCGATGTCTTAAATTAATTAAAAAGTAAGGAATGTGTGTCACTTGACAATATCTGTGCATGACGTAGCACGAAGAAAAGTAACGAGGAAATGGTAAATGCTTAACTTTCTACATTTGTAATATCTTCTTTAAATCTGCTTTAAATCTACATACTGGCACACAATATGCTCGGTTAAGTCTTTGATTGTGTTTGGGTTCTGATATTCGAACATGAATGATATTCATGTATGGTATGTTCCCGTACTACAAGACTCTACTAGTCTTTACTATATTTTTCGATATCACAAAGGAAATATATGTTATCGTTGTAAAAAGTAGTAGATTCTTGCAGTACGGGAACAGACTGGTAGTTTCTTTCACATTCACCATTTCAACTGCAAAATGCTGATGTACTTTTAACAAAACTAATATTTTAACAGGTCCACTGTAATGATAGTATGTCTTTGTGCATATGTTTGTAACAGGCAAAAGGAAACGAGATAGACACATGGTTCCTTTTGAGAATATGCATAAAATCATTTTCCGAGTCGATTTATGTCTGTCCGTCCTTCCGTCCGTCTTTCGGTCCGTCTGTAGATGTTAAATTGTAAACAAAGTACAGCTCGCATTTATGATCCGATTGGGATGAAATTTGGCGCAAGTCACTTATTTGGCCGAAGGACGAACCCTATTGAAATCGTCCGATTTAAGGTCAATGGGGCACAAAAGTCCCTATATATCTTTCGATTAGCACGAAATTTGGCACAGAGTACTGACTTAGGTCCAGAATGATGTGTGTGTTTCGAGAAAATCGGTTCAGATTTAGATATAGCTCCCATATATAGTTTAGACCGATTTTAGGTAAATAGTCCACTAAGGTCACTATATATCTTTCTATTTGCACAAATTTGGCACAGAGTAATGAATAAGGTCTAGAATGATGTGTGTTAAGTTTCGTGAAAATCGGTTCAGATTTAGATATAGTTTCCATATATATTTTCATCCGATTTAAGGTAATTGGCGCATCAAAGACCCTAGGTATCTTCCGATTTGCACGAAATTTGGCAAAGCGTACTGAAATGCGTCTATAATAAAGTGTGCTAGGTTTCGAAAATCGGTTCAGATTTAGATAAAGCTCCCATATATATTTTCGTCCAATTTTATGTAATTGGTGCAGCAAAGTCCCTATATATCTTTCGATTTGCACGAATTTTGGAAATCGAATTTTTGAATTCCCTGAAATCGGTTCAGATATAGATAAATAACAAAAACGCGACGTCTGTTAGGATAAATATGTACAATATACCCAAAGTGGTGAAGGGTATCATATAGTCGGCCCAGTCCGACTTTACTACTTCCTTACTGGTTTTATTTTGTTTTCTTGCCATAATTATAAGTACACATTGTGTTCAAATCGAGAAATGTAAAACGGAGTTCATTTTCAGTTTAACTTTTACAAATCAATAATCAATAATGTATATCTATACATTCAATTGTCTTAGCATAGATTGTAATGTAGGGTTTTTATACCCTTCACCACGCTGTGGTACAGGGTCAATTTCTGAGTTGATTTATTCATGTCCCTGCATTTTTGTAAACGAAGTACAGATCGCATTTATGATCCGATTTAGTTGCAATTTGACGCATATCAATTATTTGAAATTATAGAAAATCTAGCTAGAGTCGATCAGGACATATGTATCTGCCCGCCCGTCTGTCCATTATAATTTGTAAACGCAGTACAATCGGGGAATTTTGTCAATCGGTTCCTGTCAAAGAATATTTTTGGTAATGATCAATGGACCAGCAAATTCATATTAAGCATGACTATTTTAATGATGATCGGTCAATATTTAGCGGGTCAAATGGACCCAGACTTCTGTGTTAATATAAATTAATCGACTTTATTTTAAATTTTGAATGCACCCCACATGGTGAAACGTATAAACAGTTTGGGCAGGCTAAACTTAATAACGTTTTCTAATTAAATTCTTCCCATAAAAGTATATGCCTAATAATATGATTAATATCGATTACCACAAAAATCTGCTTTGAAAAGGGCTGTTCCTAGAATGAAGACAAATGTCGAACTTTGACAAATTTGAATTTAATTCGCATATGCAAGTTTCGCATCAGGGCAAAATAAAAGCAAGTTATCAACGTTACGACCTTTGTAAAGCCACATAGCCTAATATGCCTGATGAGCCGCTTAACCAACGGCGAAACGCGTCGCATAATGGTGGGTACGTAGGTTCTTCTCCTGGCTTTCCTTTTCATTGCAAAACTTAGATCATCAAGCTCGACTCGAAAGAGTATAAATAATCACTTAAAATTACTTTCAAATGATCACTGCCCTTACAAGGCAAAATTCAAATAACAAAAATTAATTCAGCTGAGCACGGCTAGGGCTCGAACTTAGGTCCTCGGAGCAACACAAATGTTGCCCAGACCGCTTAACGTTCTGAGCCATCAACACACTTCCTAAACGGTTGCGCAAAAACATGTGTATACCATGGAAGCAATTGTAGGTGTGTGGATTAATTATCCATCGCTACAACAAAAATCTGATTTGAAAAGGACTGTTCCTATAATGAAGACAAATGTCGAACTTTGACAAATTTGAATTTAATTCGCATATGCAAGTTTCGCATCAGGGCAAAATGAAAACAAGTTATCAACGTTACGACCTTTGTAAAGCCACATAGCCCAATATGCCTGAGGAGCCGCTTAACCAACGGCGAAACGCGTCGCATAATGGTGGGTACGTAGGTTCTTCTCCTGGCTTTCCTTTTCATTGCAAAACTTAGATCATCAAGCTCGACTCGAAAGAGTATAAATAATCACTTAAAATTACTTTCAAATGATCACTGCCCTTACAAGGCAAAAATCAAATAACAAAAAAAAAAAAAAAAAAAAAAAAAAAAAGATTACCACAAAAAAATGTAAAATCATGTATTTTACTTAAACAATTGTGAATTGTATTAAGGAAAATAAAGCGAAAAAATGATACATGGAATAATAATAAAATGCAATAATAAGTGAAATAAATTATCTTTAAGTTGAGGATAATTTCGTATGTCTTTATGGTTTTTAGCATGGCAAAGATGGAAATGATAACTGAGGATTTGTAGCAGTACAATTATGAGCGCAAAAATGTGCATGGCTAAGACTAAGCTAACTGGATTTCATAAGTATTGAGTTGAGGATTAACTTTAAATATTAAAGTTTGCTATTGATAAGTAACTTTAAGATTATATTTCAAATATCTTCAATACTATTTTAGTTCTGGCATGGTAAAATTTCGATATGAGACTTCATACAATATCACCTCCAAATAAAATAACTATTTATGACCAAATGTTTAGTTTAACAAAAAGCTTCCAAAATAACAAAAAATCCGAAGGTTTACTTACAGAAAATCAAAACACGCACATATTTAAACGCCTAAGTAATATGAAAGCAGGAAATTTTAATTTTTGGTGAGTTAACTTATTTTTTTGAAAGAACTTTCGCATGGATAAATATTTATTTCGAAGAGTTATAAGTTATTAACAACATATAATCTCAAATTGAGTTTGTGTGCCCAAAAAATGTAAAAACGAAATATTGTCATACACGTGTGTAAACAAGTTGCCGTTTTTTTGTCATTCACAACAATTACATTGATTTTATTTAATTCCTCTTAGCTTCGATGGTTATATGTTAAAAATTGGATACAAAATTAAAGCGTCAATGGATTTATGGAACAGTCTTCAACTCGCCGAATGTACAAATACACCTCAAGATTTATCGACA